ACCCAAATTGGGAGGCTTCTTCCCCGCCCTAAACTCTAGCTACATGCGAAGTTCCGCGTCGATTGGTCTATAATTGCGACCTGTATAGCTACTGCAAAATCAGACATTTTTTCAGTTTTTGGTCCATTTTGACCCCTAAATATTATGCGATCATCTCCAAAAGAAATAGGGTTCTATTCTGACCCTAGCCCCACCTCCATTCTAAATTTCGTGAAGATCGGGCCATAATTGCGACCTGTAGAGTGATTACAAATTAACATGGACAGACGGACAGACGGACAGACGGACAGACGGACGGACGGACATACATAGCTAGATCGACTCAACTCGGCGAGATAGGAAGATCCATATATACTTTCCTATGTGGGAAATCAATATTTCGAGGTGTTACATAATTTTTGGCCCAATCAAACTTATAATACCCCCAACACATAGTGTTGTAGGGTATAATAAACAAGTAAGCAAAGGCTACAGTCGAGCGGGGCCGACCGTTGAATACCCTACAACACTATAATAAACGATACAGTTTATATAGGCAGATACTCGAAAGAATTCCACAAGATATTGTGACAAATAATAAAAGAAAACCATCAGGTTTCGTTCTCTAATTTTCGAATAACAGCAACTTAAACTAATTTGCTCATTTCCAATTTATTGGTAGATGTTGCACGTAAATGGTCTTCCTAGATCTGGAACCAATATATCCCAAAGACCTATAATCTCTCAGAAGTGGCAAAAGATTAATATTTATTATTGGTTTTTGACTGAACGAAATCAGCGTTAACGAAATAGTCAGAAGTGCGTCTTTCCTGTATTTGTGAATTCTCCAAAAAGTCACTGGAATAGATATTTTCGTATTTTGTCTACAAAAGTTGTCACACATTGAATATTTTTGGATGGCCATCCAAAACTGCTTGGCTTTTGTAATATCCGGTAACTCCCATTCAAATGTGCGTGAGGATCGGGCGATTATTACGACCTGCAGACAATTTTGCAGTTTTTTGGTCCATTTCAACCCCTAAATATATGGCGTTCATCTCCAAAAGAGTAGACTTCTATTCTGACCCTCATCTTATCTCCATGCAAAATTTCGTAAGGATCGGGCCATAAATGCGATCTGTATATGATATCCTGATATCCTAACTACTTAGTTTTGTTAGCTGTAGAAACATTACCAAATGTTTGATTCAAAATGAAAATATGCCAAAATTGAAAAAATATGAGAAAATTTTACAAAATCCATATTTTCATCTTTAGAGAGATATTTTTATGCGATTTTTTTAGACGTTTTTTCTTTCCTGCCAAGAGGTCATTCTGAATTAATGAGAACTGTCGAAATCAGTTCAGCCGTTCTCGATATATAAGAGATTTTTCATGCATATCTTCTTTGATAAACATATATGTCGCACATATTTTGCTATATATCCGTTTTGTTTGATGTTAACATCAATGTAAAGATCAGAAGTAACCTTGCCATGGCTTTGTGATTTCGCCGGGATTTAAAATATTCGCGGTTTAATGAAAAATTCTGAATTTTTTCAACACAAAAGATATGGTCTATTTTACCCGCTAAATATTATCCGATGACCACCCAAATTGGGAGGCTTCTTCCCCGCCCTAAACTCTAGCTACATGCGAAGTTCCGCGTCGATTGGTCTATAATTGCGACCTGTATAGCTACTGCAAAATCAGACATTTTTTCAGTTTTTGGTCCATTTTGACCCCTAAATATTATGCGATCATCTCCAAAAGAAATAGGGTTCTATTCTGACCCTAGCCCCACCTCCATTCTAAATTTCGTGAAGATCGGGCCATAATTGCGACCTGTAGAGTGATTACAAATTAACATGGACAGACGGACAGACGGACAGACGGACAGACGGACGGACGGACATACATAGCTAGATCGACTCAACTCGGCGAGATAGGAAGATCCATATATACTTTCCTATGTGGGAAATCAATATTTCGAGGTGTTACATAATTTTTGGCCCAATCAAACTTATAATACCCCCAACACATAGTGTTGTAGGGTATAAAAATATGAAAAAGTAAAAAAAATGTCACAAAATACTACAAAATCTATATTAACATCATTATTGGCATCTTTTTATGCGATGTTTTTTTAGTTTTTATATTTTTATGCCAATAGGGCATTCTGAAATGACAAAATTTGTCAAAATCGGTCCAGCCATTCATGAGCTATAATGCATTCTACCAAACATCCCTTTCCTTTGTATAAAAACATTGTACATATTTCGCTATATATATCCGATATATTTACTATCGGCATCTACGTAACGGTCAGAATCGACCTGTTCGTCTATTTGTGTTTTCGCCGGGATTAAGAATATTCGCGGTTTAATGGAAAATTTGACTTTTATTTAACACAAATGTTGTGGTCTATTTCACCCACTAAATATTACCCGATGACCATCAAAATTGGAAGGCTTCTGCCCAGCCCTAAGCTCTAGACCCATGCTAACTTTCGCTTCGATTGGTCTATAATTGCGACATGTAGAACAACTTCAAAATCAGGAAATTTTTTTGGTCCATTTAAACCCCTAAATATAATGCGATCATCTCCAAAAACAATAGGCTTCTATTCTGACCCTAACCCCACCTACATTTTCAATTTCGTGAGGACCGGGCCATAATTGTGACCTGTAGCGTTATTACAAATTAACATTGACAGACGGACGGACATACATAGCTACATCGACGCAGCTCGACGAGATAGGAAGATCCATATGTATTTTCCTGTGGAAAAACAATATTTCGAGGTGTTACATAATTTTTGGCCCAATTAAACTTAAAATATCCTCAACACAAAGTGTTGTCGGATATAAATATTAGTATATGGAAAATTTGAAAGAAATCGTAAATTTAAAATTTCTGGTTAAGAGAAATATTTAGATATGGCAAGCTGTAAAGAATCGCCGACTTGTTTCGCAAATTATGACAGATATCAGTATTGGAAATTGTGACCCTTTGTGGGTGAGGTACCAGAATGTGTTGACAGATATATATCATCTTTACCACAGATCTTGCGTTAGTAAAAATATTTGGATGTGTGAAATTCGAAGAGAGTTGGGTGCTTACATCGCTTTCTTTGAGCGTTTTGTTTTTTTTTTCTCGAAAATCTTGAACACTATGTGGGGGAGGTACCAGAAGGAATGGTCTGATCTGTACCATTTTTATAACAGATCTTGTGTTGATGGAAATATTGAACTGTACCAAGTCTGAATGGAAATCGAATGTTAATTTGGCGTTGTTTTGATCGTCATGGCTACTCAAAATTTTGACCTTTATGGGGAAGGTACCAGAAGGAGTGGACCGATATTTTCCATCTTAATACCAGACATTGGGTTTATAAAAATATTGTGATATGTGTAATTTGAAGAGAACCAGATGCTTACTTCGGATTATATGATCGATTTGGGTACTCAAAATTTCGACCCTTTGTGGGGAGGTACCAGAAAAAATGGGCCGATCTGTACATCTTTATAACAGATCTTGTGTTGATGGAAATATTGAGCTGTATCAAGTTTGAATGGTTGTTATCGGTTGTTAATTTCGTGTTTTATGAGTTTCATGGATATTCAAAATGTTGGCCCTCTGTGGGGGAGGTACCGCAGGGAGTGGACCGATGTTGCCTATTTTCACACCAAACCTTGGATTAATAAAAAATATTGTTATGCATTTGAAGAAAATTGGAAACTTACATCACATTTTATAAGACTTATAATTACTCAAAATTTTGACCCTTTGTGGGGGAGGTACTTGATGGAGTGGACCGATATTGTCCATTTTCGCACCTGACCTTGCCCCGATGTCAATATTAGGATACGCAAATTTGGAACAAAACAGGGCCATCCTTTCTCTTTCTGTGCAGCAAATTATTTTCATTGAAAATTTTGATATATTGTGTGGGAGGTACCAGAAGGTGTGGACAGACAGATCTCCGAACTCATTCTAAGTTTGACAATAATATTACGATGTATCAAGTTTGGATCAAATCGGATACTCTCTTCGAGAGTTATCGTGCGTTCCAGCCTGCCAGCCAGCCAGACAGACAGATGGACGGACTGATATCGCTAGATCGACTCCAAATATCCTGAAACGGATTTGTTCCAAAGAGAAATAGGGTCTAAAATTTTCACTAAGATACCTGTATGGAAGGTAATGAGGATCTTGAAAAGATGACAATATTTTCGATGACAGCACGATGTTTCCTTAGACAGTATTAGGAAGTCTAAAACCACAAGCTTGATTTGTTAATACCAAGAACGAGTGTTTCCCATAACAAAAGGTTTCTAAAAGGGACCGGAAGATCTGAACGTCTTCCCAAAGAAGAAATGCATGTGTCTTCGTAGAGAATCAAAGGGCTTCCCATAGCAGAAGACCAGAGAGTCCTCTAATAGAAGGCCAGAAGTCTTCTCATAGAAGACCACATGGTTTTCTAATGGAAGATTAAAAGGTCATATTATAGAAGACCAGAATGTCTTCTTAAAGACTGGCAGAAGGTCTTCTCATAGAAAACCGGAAGGTCTTCTCCTAGAAAACCGGAAGGTCTTCTCATAGAAGGTCGGAAGGTTTTCTCATAAAAGATCGGAAGGTCTTCTCATAGAAGATCAAAAGGTTTTTTTTTCAAAGAAGATGCGAGGGTCCTCTCTTAGAAGATTCGAAAGTCTTCTCTTAGAAGTTTGGAAAGTCTTCTCATACATGATCGAAAGGTCTTCTTATAAAAGATCGAAAGGTCGTCTCATAGAAGACCAGAAGGTCGTCTCATAGAAGACCAGAAGGTCTTCTCATAGAAGACCAGAAGGTCTTCTCATAGAAGACCAGAAGGTCTTCTCATAGAAGACCAGAAGGTCCTCTCATAGAAGACCAGAAGGTCTTCTCATAGAAGACTGTAACATAAAACGTGAATTTATAAAAATATCCAAGGAATTCCAGAGTTTTAAACTTGGATTTTTGAATAAAATTCTTTTATGGACTTTCAGAGTTAAAAATTTAGATTTTTTAATAACTTTCTCTCAAGGACGTTCGGTGTTTAAAATTTGTTTTTTTTTTTCATAAAAATTTTCCAAATATTTCCAGAGCTCTAAACGTGAATTTGAAATTTGCTCCAAAATTAAGCTCTAATAATTTCCTGCCGATTTCGGTTCTCATTACTGCGACAATACCAATTGTAAATACCAAAGCTGATAAGACAAATCACAATGAATTTCATGACTAGAATTATGACCAGAAAAATTGTGTCCATTTTTATGTCAGTGGAAAAATTCGAAATGAATTGTTGGTTTGGATTGGATTTTCAGCAGCTGAAATAAGAGAAAATAATTGTATATCTTTCGGTTACAAATTATCTTTTGGATTAAATTACCATGCTGCAGGCAATGACTTCTGAGGCTATTCAACTTCTTATTTGTGGCCCTTAGACCAAAAAACGCTTCCACAATAAGTAAAAATGCAATTCCAAAAATTATATAGGTGATAGTTATATAAAAGCTCAGAGATTTTGAGGTTAGTTCCATTTGAATTTGTGTAGATACATTTTTTTAAATTTTTAAGTTTTCTTCAAAAATTGACAAATGTATGTTAGGGTGAGTCGTAAAAATATAAGTATTCTCTTTGATCTAAACCTCGATCATGATATTTTTATACCCTCCACCTCAAAGAGGAGGGTGTATTAATTTTGTCATTTCGTGTGTAACATCCCTAAATATTCGTCGTAGACTCCATAAAGTAGATATATACAGGGTGAGATTAAAAAACTGCAACCAAATTCAGACTGCTGTCATATCTACGCCACTCGTCCGACAGCTGTTAAAATTATTCCAGTAACAGCTTATTATATTGTTTACAAGCGTACAAAAGCATTTTGGTGAGTAATAGTTATTCGTGATGGAATCCAAGCGTGATTGTGCGATTTCTGTATATTTGCCTGGAAAACCAAAAATGGCCATCGTTAGGGCACTCCAGCATTTAAATGTGAATAAATATTTTTTGTCTCGTAACATCGCTCGTTACCGTGGTACTAATACTTGTAGCATAGCCTGACGTCAAGGAAGTGGACGGAAAAAACAGCAACATGAGCAAAAATGGTTCGAAAAGTAAAGAAGCGACTTGATCGAAAACCGTGTCGCAGTGGCCGGAAAATAGGTCGTGAGCCGAATATATCGCATTATTCCATTCGGCAAATATTGAAAAATTAGCTCGGGATAAAGCCATTGAAATTCCAAAAAGTGCAAGAACTTACACCGCAACAGAAAGAAAATAGACTCAAAAGAGCTAAAGAGTTGTTGGGCTTGGCCGAAAGTGGTGAACTGTCGAATTTGATTTTCTCCGATGAGAAAACATTCGTTGTCTAGCAGTTTGTAAACACATAAAATTATCGTTTTTACTTGCCAAAGAGGTCAGCTGAAAACCGAAGGTGGCCACCAGAACTCAAGCGCCGGCCATGGTGATGGTGTGGGTCGCCATAACAGCCGATGGTCGCTCGGCTCCGCTCGTATTACTCGACCGTGGCATCAGAATAAATATCGAATATAATTGCGAAAATATTCTGGAGGGTGTACTAAAGCCTTGGGCATGCAAACATTTTGGCCGCAGACCTTGGACATTCCAACAGGACTCAGCACGCGCCACCCAAGAATGGTTACAAATGAGGTTCCTCGCTTCATTTCCAGCGCATGAAGGTTGGCACTATAAAATACCAAAGTGCCGACCACTTCAAGCAAGCGCTTCGCTGGGAATGGACCAAAATACCGCAGATCAACATTCGGGCAGCGTGTGACGGTTTCATTGGCCGTTTTAAGGTCATAATTCGTGCCAAAGGTGACCAATTCCGACATTTTTTGTTTTCATTCAATAAAATTAAAAAAAAAAATGTAAACATTATTGCGTTTAACTTTGTTGCAGTTTTTTTATCTTCCGAAACTCGGTACTTTAAAGATTTAAAGATAACTTCCGATATTCGGTACTTTCAAGATTTTTGCCAAATTGGTTTTTGTAGTTCATAATGGGTTCAAGCTCCTATTGCAATACGTATTATATATATATATATAGGTCCACGTTTTTGTATAGCGCCCATAAAACGATACCTCCCGATAGTTGGTGTTTTGATGATTTTGCCACACTTCTTCACGGATTTGTCTAAAAATTGGTATTTGTTAATTATAAATGGTTCTAGCTCCGGTGGCAAAACGTTGTATGTAAAGGTCCAAATATTGTATAGCCCCCATATAACGGTATCTTCCGATAGTCGGAATTTTAAAGATTTTTGGCAACGTTTTTACATAGATTTGTCTAAAAATTGTCATTTGTAGTTCGTAATGGCTCCACCTCCTGTGGCGGAACATAGTATGTATCGTTTCACATTTTCGTATAGCTCCCATATAACGGTACCTCCCAAAAATTCGGTATTTTAATGATGTTCGCCACATTTTTTTTCATGGATTTGTCCAATATTGGTATTTGTAGTTCGTATTTCGAATTCTAGCTTCGGAGGCAGGTCATTGTATATATAGGTGCACATTTTTTGGTATTTTGATAATCCTATTCACATTTATACACCAAATTGTTTCAAATTTGGTATTTAAGGAGGTTTGGTAGATAACAATCATTGAAGAATAAAATTGCCTATATAGGTTCCCGTTTTGGTAATGCCCCCACCCACTTTATGGTTTTTTTTTTTTTGAAAAGTTTAAAAGCATTATCCAAAAGTCTTACAGTAAGTTTGCATATTTGGATTAATATCATCATATCCATTACTTATACTTCAAATAAATTCTCATAAAAGTAGGTTAGACCTGCATAAAGTTCTAACGAAAATATGGCATTACTGGTATTTGAAGTTTAATGTGGAACACGTTTGATTTCAGATACTCTTATATAAAAATGTTTTCTTTACCTAATGGTGGTTCTGGGACAGTGCAAATATCTATTACGTTTTTCCCAGTAAACATTTTGTATTTCTTCAAAACGTCACCCATATTATAAGTCGAATCATTTCAAACTTTGTTAAAAACGATCCTTGCACCAAACTGGCATCTTTTTTTGTGCATTGCTACCATCTATTAATTAAGTTAACACTACCACCACCATCGCAAAAACAGTCACTACAACAAATTAACTTTTAACATCTGTTTGTGAATAAACCACAAATCCAATATTTTAATCACTTTCAATCATTGCACTCAAATGGAATATTAAGCTCGCATACTCTCTCCCGGCGTGTATGTGTATGTGCATATATAAATGTAACCATACAACCATAATGTTGGCAAATTATTATATCCAAAGGCATTTGAGACTTAAATATATAAAGGGTGAGATGATGAACAGCAACCAAATTCAAACTGCTGTCATATCTAAGCCACTCGTCCGACAGCTGTTAAAATTATTCCAGTGACAGCTCATTATATTCTTTATAAGCGTACAAAAGAATTTTGGTGAGAATATTCCACAAAAATAGTTATTCGTGATGGAATTCAAGCGTGATAGTGTGATTTCATTATATTTGGATGGAAAACCACGAAGGGCTATCGTTAGAGCACTCCAGCATTTAAATGTGAATAAATCTTTTGTGTCTCGTACCATCGCTCGTTACCGTGGTACTAATACTGTAGCGTAGCCTGACGCCAAGGAAGTGGACGGAAGAAAACAGCAACATGAGCAAAAATGGTTCGAAAAGTAAAGAAGCGACTTGATCGAAACCCGCGTCGCAGTGACCGAAAAATGGCTCGTGAGCTAAACATATCGCAATATTCAATTCGGCAAATATTGAAAAATGAGCTCGGGATAAATCCATTGGAATTCCAAAAAGTGCAAGAACTTACACCGCAACAGAAAGAAAATAGATATATAAATAAAGAGTTTTTGCGCTTGGCCGAAAGTGCTGAACTGCAGAATTTGGTTTTCTCCGATGAGAAAACATTCGTTGTCTAGCAGTTTGTAAACAAACAAAACGATCGTCTTTACTTGCCAAAGAGGTCAGCTGAAAATGTGCGCCATCATATGGCCACCAGAACTCATGCGCCGGCCATGGTGACGGTGTGTGCCGCCATAACAGCCGATGGTCGTCGAAATGCCGAATATTATCGCGAAAATATTCTGGAGGGTGTATTAAAGTCTTGTTCACGCAAATATTTTGGCCGCAGACCTTGGATATTCCAACAAGGACTCAGAATCATCGTACTCAGCACGCGCCAACCAAGAATGGTTGCAAAATGAGGTTCCTCGCTTCATTTCTAGGGCACAATGGCCACCAAAATCTCCGGCTTCGTTGGACTATTGTATCTGGAGTATTTTGGAAAGCAAAGTTGGCACTAAAAATTACGATCACCTCAAGCAGAGCAATATTCGGGCAGGGTGTGACGGTTTCATTGGCCGTTTAGAGGCCATAATTCGTGCCATAAGTGACCAATTCGAACAAATTTAAACTTATTTTAAAATTTGATGCCACTTCCGACATTTTTTTCATTCAGTCTATAAAATTGAAAAAAACCAGTAAAGAAAGTCCTAAAGTCGGGCGGGGCCGACTTTATGTTACCCTACACCACTTTGCTAATTTAGTAGAGCTCCACGTAACAATTAAAAGTTTTTATTGGAGAATTCAATCATACACGCTATGATTATAATTATAATTTAAAGTTCAAAGGACAAAATATGCCGAAGCATTTCTTTTTTTTAAATTCGGACTTGTATTGCCCATTTGGTGCAAAATTAATTTAAAATCAGATAAAGATATATATGGGAGCTATATCCAAATCTGAACCGATCTCGAAAAAAATTTTCAAATATATTTCTGAGCTGTATATGATATATTTCCTGAAATATCGTTGTTACGGAGTGCATATTACGGCTGTGGGTAACAAATTCTAGAAATCGAATGAACAATATATATGGGAGCTATAGCTATATCTTAACCGATCTTCACCAAATTTGTCATACTAGCTTCTGGACTCAATTCGGTCGTAAGTGCCAAATTTCATCCCATTTGGGCAAATATTAGACGTTTGGTGCACAATAAAAGGTAAATCGGACGAAGTTATATATGGGAGCTATATCCAATTCTGAACCGATCTCGATAAAAATTAGCAAATGTATTTCTGAGCTGTATTTGATATACTTCCCCAAATATGCAGAGTGCATACTACGGCGGCAGTGGACAAAAATAACAAATCGGATGAACAATATATATGGGAGCTATAGCTATAGTTGTGTTCCAGAACCTGCAAATTAGTACTAATTAGCACTAATTCTGCTACAACGCGTTCCCGTACTCCAAAAACTAGCAAAACTTGCAGCTCTCTCGAGAAAAAAATGGCGCTGAGTGGTGCACATTTCTGCTTGTTTTAGCTACATGAATTTGGCCGAGCAGAAATGTGCATATTGTAAATTTGACATTTAATTGGCAGGGCTAACAAGGTTGAAAAATGTATTGATACATTTCAATAAAGAAAATGATCAACTTGAAAACTAAAGGAAAAACTAATATTTGTCGTGCAAAAAACAAAAAGAGAAAATATGGAGCAACTGATGTATTCACTTTTGGATGATTCCAGCAGTGAAGAGGACTG